CTTAGTTGAGAAGGGCTGTGGGGGGCCTGGGGACTGTCTGCGGGGGAGAGGCAGGTGCCCATGGCCCCGCCCGAGTGAAGGGCAGACGGATAGCGGTGCTGAGCACCCCGCACCCCACAATCGTATCTGCCATCTCTACCCCGCACCGCACAGTCGTATCTGCCATCTCTACGCCCATCTCTACCCCGCACCCCTCAGTCGTATCTGCCATCTCTACCCCATCACTACCCCGCACCCCACAGTCATCTCTGCCATCTCTACCCCGCACCCCATGGTCGTATCTGACATCTCTACGCCCATCTCTACCCCGCACCCCATGGTCGTATCTGACATCTCTACCCCATCTCTACCCCGCACCCCGCAGTCATCTCTGCCATCTCTATGCCCATCTCTACCCCGCACCCCGCAGTCGTATCTGCCATCTCTACCCCATCTCTACCCCGCACCCCACAGTCGTATCTGCCATCTCTACCCCATCTGTACCCCGCACCCCGCAGTCGTATCTGCCATCTCTATCCCATCTCTACCCCGCACCCCGCAGTCGTATCTGCCATCTCTACCCCATCTCTACACCGCACCCCACGGTCGTATCTGCCATCTCTACCCCATCTCTACCCCGCACCCCGCGGTCGTATCTGCCGTCTCTACCCCATCTCTACCCCGCACCCCGCGGTCGTATCTGCCATCTCTACGCCCATCTCTACCCCGCACCCCGCAGTCGTATCTGCCATCTCTACCCCATCACTACCCCGCACCCCACAGTCATCTCTGCCATCTCTACCCCGCACCCCATGGTCGTATCTGACATCTCTACGCCCATCTCTACCCCGCACCCCACAGTCATCTCTGCCATCTCTACGCCCATCTCTACCCCGCACCCCATGGTCGTATCTGACATCTCTACCCCATCTCTACCCCGCACCCCGCAGTCATCTCTGCCATCTCTACGCCCATCTCTACCCCGCACCCCGCAGTCGTATCTGCCATCTCTACCCCATCTCTACCCCGCACCCCACAGTCGTATCTGCCGTCTCTACGCCCATCTCTACCCCACACCCCGCAGTCGTATCTGCCGTCTCTACGCCCATCTCTACCCCGCACCCCGCAGTCGTATCTGCCATCTCTACCCCATCTCTACCCCGCACCCCGCAGTCGTATCTGCCATCTCTACCCCATCTCTAACCCGCACCCCGCGGTCGTATCTGCCGTCTCTACGCCCATCTCTACCCCGCACCCCGCGGTCGTATCTGCCGTCTCTACGCCCATCTCTACCCCGCACCCCGCAGTCGTATCTGCCATCTCTACCCCATCTCTACCCCGCACCCCACAGTCGTATCTGCCATCTCTACCCCATCTCTACCCCGCACCCCGCAGTCGTATCTGCCATCTCTACCCCATCTCTAACCCGCACCCCGCGGTCGTATCTGCCGTCTCTACCCCATCTCTAACCCGCACCCCGCGGTCGTATCTGCCGTCTCTACGCCCATCTCTACCCCGCACCCCGCGGTCGTATCTGCCGTCTCTACGCCCATCTCTACCCCGCACCCCGCAGTCGTATCTGCCATCTCTACCCCATCTCTACCCCGCACCCCACAGTCGTATCTGCCATCTCTACCCCATCTCTACCCCGCACCCCGCAGTCGTATCTGCCATCTCTACCCCATCTCTAACCCGCACCCCGCGGTCGTATCTGCCGTCTCTACGCCCATCTCTACCCCGCACCCCGCAGTCGTATCTGCCATCTGTACGCCCATCTCTACCCCGCACCCCACAGTCATCTCTGCCATCTCTACCCTGCACCCCGCAATCGTATCTGCCATCTCTACCCCATCTCTACCCCGCACCCCGCAGTCGTCTCTGCCATCTCTACCCCATCTCTAACCCGCACCCCGCGGTCGTATCTGCCGTCTCTACGCCCATCTCTACCCCGCACCCCACAGTCGTATCTGCCATCTCTACCCCATCTCTAACCCGCACCCCGCGGTCGTATCTGCCGTCTCTACGCCCATCTCTACCTCGCACCCCACAGTCGTATCTGCCATCTCTACCCCATCTCTAACCCGCACCCCGCGGTCGTATCTGCCGTCTCTACGCCCATCTCTACCCCGCACCCCGCAGTCGTATCTGCCGTCTCTACGCCCATCTCTACCCGGCACCCCGCAGTCGTATCTGCCATCTGTACGCCCATCTCTACCCCGCACCCCACAGTCATCTCTGCCATCTCTACCCCGCACCCCGCAGTCGTATCTGCCGTCTCTACGCCCATCTCTACCCGGCACCCCACAGTCGTATCTGCCATCTGTACGCCCATCTCTACCCCGCACCCCACAGTCGTATCTGCCATCTCTACGCCCATCTCTACCCCGCACCCCGCAGTCCTATCTGCCATCTCTACGCCCATCTCTACCCCGCACCCCGCAGTCCTATCTGCCATCTCTACGCCCATCTCTACCCCGCACCCCGCAGTCCTATCTGCCATCTCTACGCCCATCTCTACCCCGCACCCCGCAGTCCTATCTGCCATCTCTACGCCCATCTCTACCCCGCACCCCGCAGTCCTATCTGCCATCTCTACACCCATCTCTACCCCGCACCCCGCGGTCGTCTCTGCCATCTGTACGCCCATCTCTACCCTGCACCCCGCGGTCGTCTCTGCCATCTCTACGCCCATCTCTACCCCGCACCCCGCGGTCGTCTCTGCCATCTCTACGCCCATCTCTACCCCGCACCCCACAGTCGTATCTGCCATCTCTACCCCATCTCTACCCTGCACCCCGCAGTCGTATCTGCCGTCTCTACCCCATCTGCTCGACTGCGCCCCTGCTAGCAGAAGTTTTGCCTGGACTGACCACCCGATGGAACACCAGTTGCCCCTGTCTTCTGAGAAAGCCTCTGTCGGTGAGTAAAGGTGCCCTTGTGTCCACAGGCTGAGCCTGAGGCACTCAGTTCTCTCCTCCTGGAATGAGACGTCCTCAGTCAGGCAGCCTGATGCCCGCAGGCCCCGACTCCCCGAATGCCACAGCCTTATCCTGGGATGGGCTCCTCGCTGCGCAGGGCTGACGCTAACCCCTAGGAGAGCTGGTCTCTTTACCTGTTAGCCTACTTCTCATGCATTCTTGGGTGAGCTTACGCCCAGTGCCCAGTCCTTTTCCAGGCAGAGTAGCCCTCAACAATATCTGTCAAAGAAAGGAGTCAGTGAACGGACCACCAAGGAATGAATTCCCTCCATCACCTGCCTCTGAGTATGTGACCCAGGACACACGACTGGATTCTACCCAGAGCATCAGCTTCTCCCTGACACAGTCTCTCCACTGAACTTTTAAGACTGAGGGGATGAAGCAGAAATATCTGGGACAAAAATAATTAATTAATTAATTTTTTTAAAAAAGAAAGAAATTGGAAGACAGCGAGAAAATAAATAGAACGGAGGGAACAGACGACCACAGGCCAAATGCCACGTGTCATTAGCTGGGGAACTCAGGCATATGTCCCAACCCCTGTGTCTTTTCCCCGTGTCTCACCTCAGCACAGAACAGGCCGGAACAACACACCTCGGCCCGGGAAGGCATCAGCATTTCCTACACCTGGAGGGGTGCGCCGGGAGCCCCGGGTCTGGCCTGGTGATGCTTCAAACAGCAGGGTTCTCGGCCTATCCGTTTTGGTCCCACGGATGCTACAGTCTGTTCTCTGACCACAGGAGGGTCCAGGAGAAGCAGGGTCCCGGGGCCCGCCAGGTAACCCAGGAGCCGCAGCGGCAGACCAGCAGCGGCAGGGTGCGGCACCCCGAGTTCATCCTCGTACCGGTCATGTGCTGTCGCGGTGTCTACTTGGGTCACAACTCTAACCCTCCTCGTGCCCGTCCCCGCGCTAACAGTCAGCCTCAAGGAACACAGGTTCTCAGTTTTCACACGGAAAACGCATTTCGTTCTGTGTCATGACTCCAGTAGTCAATACGACAAGGCCAAATATCTCCAAGGACAATCGAAGTTATCGACCACGGCCGATTCGGAGTGTTCACGCCACACAAGCCAGAGGCGCTGTCAGAGGCACCGAGAGAGCACACCTGGCCCGGACACAGCTCTCGAGAACCACACCTGACGCCTCAGCTGGGCAGCTGGGCCCCTGAGGGGACGCAGGAGGCGGCGGTCCATCAAGCACTGTGAAGCCAGCATCCACTGTGACTTCGGTTTTATCAAGTGACAAGCAGGTCAACAGTTCGAATGAGCTTTAAAAAGTGACAGGGTAGGGCCAACATCACACCGTGAGTAAAGAAGATACGGATGAGAACTTTCTTTTCAGTCACTGAACGCGCCAATCCTCCTGAACACCAGAGCACTCCCCATTTTCCTGCATCATTAGAGGATTTAGTGGGTTCACTGATTCGACCGATTCCTTTGTTAACCTATTTACATGGGTTAAGACCCCGAATGACATAAAACACAGCCCAAAAATCCCAGACAGAGGGTATAATGAAAGACGGAGTGATGTATGGTTTGGGGTACAGCCTAGCCAATAAATGTGCTTGACCAGCAAAGAACCCATTGGCGAAGATTTATCATCGGAACAAATACACTCCAAAAAGACCTGATACCATGAAACCCGCAGTGTAACTACAAACAACTCTAAAATACAGTTCTTCGTCCAGCTAGAGCTTATTTTTCTATGTTGTTTTATCCTGTAATTATTATATATTCTCTTCATGTATTTCATTCAAGAATGAATTTCTGAATAAGTAAAACCAAGGGGTATAGTTTCTGAAATGGCACGAATAGTCTAGTTCTTTAATTCGTACAAAAGAAAACGAAGTTTATACTACTCAGAACTTATCAACAACCTCCAAAACATAGAAAGAGAGGGAGATCTTCCTGGGAAACGTATCGTCGAGGGCAAAGGCAAACAGGCATCCCCCGCCAGAGTCACAGATCACTGTGGTTTAATTACATTAACGCCAAATGAGGAAAAGTTAAAGGGAGACAAAGAAATTACTTAAAATGTGATACCTCCAAGTTCCTTCACGTTCAACACGGCGTTCTGGAATGGCACTGCTTTTATACTAAAACCTAAAATTAGAAAACAAAAAAAGAATCAGCAACGACTTTCTAAAATGCAGAAGATGCTCAAATCCTCTTTTTTAGTCAGGTTAAGAGTTACTTTATTCAGCTCATATTTATACTGGAAACACAATTTCTAAGATGAATTAATCATCTGATAGTACCCGCTACCGATTTTCAAAACATAGTTGTGTATTACAGCAAAATATAAATCACCCCTTTCTTCAAAATGTTGTTTTATTCTTTAATTAATAGATAATGTCACTCTGAAAATTTTATTCATCGTAAGAAAGACACTTGTAAATACAGAGAAACTTCAAAGAAAATATTAAATCTAATGGGACCTTTGCATTGAACTAATTCCTGAAGTTAATTTTCTCTCACAAGTAACAGAGAAACCCTAGAGATTAGAGTATCTAAACTGCAACCATCTTATATTATAATTATAGAATATTTGTGTTAGTTTTCTTTTAAGGACATGGTTAATGTCATACATACATCTTTCTCAAAAGAACAATCACAATTATTTATGCAAAGCAATTCTTTTATAATGCATGTAGTAAATGATTTCTATTATAAAATCTATTCAGAGTGTAGTCTGCTGATTACGTGTTTAGGACTTAGCTATCACCGTTTAGGTCAATTCCGCTGTAACATACGTGAGTGTACATACCCTGTACACAGACATACATGCACACAGGCAAACAAATGCACACACTGAATATTTCTGAAAGGACCATAAGAAACTAGAACTCGCGGGTTCTGGGGAGGGCCAGGGTCTGGAGCCCGCAGACGGGACAAGCTGCTCCAGTGTCCTTTGAATTCCTCACCATATACAAGCACCCCTTTTTCAACTAAAGCCCACTAATTTCTAAAAGTTAATTGACTCGGTCATTTTCTGAGCACGCAGGCAACTTAAGATTTTAAACATCATTCCATATGTACAATTACAGAGAGATTAAACACGGTCCCGTTTGGAGAAACCGTCTCCAGAGTAAAAGGGAGACGGAAACCCTTCGAATTGAAGCAGGTTGGGGGGGGGGCTGGACAGGCCCGAGGACAGTTCTTTCCACGGGCTGTGCTTCCCTCCATGAAGAAGAAAACTGGCAGGTGCCTTTATGTCCCACCTCTTACTACCTCCTTGTCGCTGTGCACATTCCTAGCACCGCAAGCGTCTATGCGGTACCCTCCGCGCAGGGAGTGGGTCACGCGGAGTTACGCTGACTGCGCAGTCAGACAGAGCTGGTGCTCAGCGAGCTCGGGGCCCACGCGCGACCTCCTGCCCAGGTTTTCCTGCCTGCAGACGGGATGACAGCCACCCCTGCAGAACTATTGGGAGGAGGAGGTGACACATGCATGACCTTCATCGTACGCCTGGCACGAACGGGCATGCCATCTGAGACTGCTGGCGCTGTGCTGCAGTCGATACTTTGTTGTCGATGACTTTTCCACTAGTGCGTGTATCTTCTGCGGCCCTGACCATGGACTCAGGCTGGAGACCCATCGGCGCCCTTGGCCGGCCGCCCGACTGCATGCCATGGAAGCACCCCGCCAGGGCGACGGGGGTGGGAAGACCCGCTACAAGACCAGCCAGGTGCACTGGGCTTGCTGAGAAGCCTCCAGGCACACTCTGCCCGCGGCTTCCTGCAGATGCGCAGCGGCCCGGCAGCGCGGCCACTGGCGCACACGGAGAGGAGGAGGGGACCCACGGGCCTGCGGGAGCCTCTCCAGGTGTCTGGCCTCTGGGGAATTCACGACAGTGCCAATCCCAACTCTGCTGGCACTGACCGAGCCGCGCCCGCAGGGGACCCGGATGTGGAACGCACCGCCCTCCTGCCAGGGGTGTGCACGGGAAGAAGGCGTGATTGTGAAACCCCGAGAAGGAGAGGCCTGTGCACACGGTGAGCAGTCTGCTGGTGGCCGTGCGGCCCAGCCGAAGGACGGGTGTCCAGAGACATGGGACAGGCCACTCTGCAAAGCAGCAGCCTCGCCGCTCGGAGGCAACGTCCGTCTGCTTCGATCCCCAGACGCTGACCCGCTGCAGGCACCCACCGGGAAGTAATATCCTTCCCGAAGCCGCAGCGCCTTATACAAAACACACCTCTGAAACGTCGTCTTCCAACACGCAGGTTCTGGCGCAGGTGACCGTCTTTAATCCTTGCACAGATTTCATAATAAACTGACTACAAAAATGTCCTCAAATGTCCACGCTAAAAAAAAATAGGGACCTAGCAATGTTATTTTATAGGCATATAAATGTTTCTGCGGAATACTCGTAAATGTTCTCTCTCCAAAGAGAACACAGGAAGCTAGATTTATACGCAAAGGTATACGCGGTCTTCCCTTCTGATGTCTCCGTATTATTTCTACCATAAAGCTGTAGTAATTAACGTTCCAAGGATGAAGCCTCAACAGTCAGTCCAGAACATAAGAAAATGTACTGTTCTTGGAAAAATAACACGACTTTTCTGTTTCAGTCATTCTAAATGTTAGCAGGGATTAAAAAGAATTAGAAGTTAGAGACACACGCTCGGTTCACCAGAAGGGCACTTGAGAAGGGTGACGACCACCAGATCTCCTGTATTTACCTTGGGTTGGCTGAGGTCAAGTAGGGAATGACTATTTAGTAGTGAGACAAAGGTCCAGCCATGGAAATACTGTTCCTCAAGGGTTGCACTGGGGAGGAAAAACCCCCATAGAACATAGACTCTCCTGCAGATGCCCAGGTTCAAGTTCTGGCTGCATGTTATTAATGGTTTGACCTTGAGTAAGTTACTTAATTCCACTGTGCCTCAGTTTCCTCGTCTATAAATGAGATTGGAGGGCCCTCAGTGCTATAAAGTGTGTGTGTGTTTTTAAATAAGCAAAACTAGCCCAGCCGGTATGGCTCAGTGGTTGAGCGTCGACCCAGGCATCAAGAGTTGCTGGTTCGATTCCTGGTCAGGGCACATGCCCAGGTTTGGGCCCGATCCCCAGTGCGGGGCATGCAGGAGGCAGCCAAGTGATGTTTCATCGATGTTTCTATCTCTCTTTCCCTCTCCCTTCCAAATCGCTCTCTAAAAATCAATAAGGAAAAAAAATTTTTTTAAAAACATTAGAAAATGAGCAAAACTAAAACTCCAGAACACCAGTGGTCAACAGATGACTCTTGGATGCTCTCTCCTGGTCGAGACCATGTGTGGCCTCCGGCCCTCACGTATTACGAGGATGAGACCAGCTGTCACACCAGTCAAAAACAAACCTTTCCTGAGGACTTCCACAGACTACACAGCTGCAGTCTTCCTCGCTCCCAAACCCAGTCTGCTGACTGCGTCTCAGACGCTCCCGCTTCTCCACAACCTCACCGCACAGCCTGGCAGGCCGCCGCCATCACCACCTGGCCAACCGCGGGTCTGTCGGCGGCCCGATCCTCTCCACGCGTCGGCGGAAGCGCGCTTCCTGAAACGCACGTCTGCTTATATCACTTCTGTTTCAGCACCTTCTGAGAGCTTCTCAGTGCTCAGGGTGAGTCCCAAACACCTAGCCAGCCCCGCCCAACGGAGTTCCTCTCACCTTCTCCAGCTTCCCCCCCATTTCCCTTCTCAGTGTCCCTAAAACAAGCTGGGCTCCTTCGACCTCAGGGCCTTTGCACAGACTGCTCCAAAAGCACGTGATAGTTCCCGTCTGGCAAAGCCTTCCCCCTGCCAGTGGAGCTGCCTCCGGGGCTCCTGCACGAGGCTGGGCTTCGTCTGTTTGCTGGTCTGGAACCCATGTCCCCCCAGCTCTCGTCACTTCCCCGTGTGACTGCCACAGCTGAGTCACACATCCGTTTATTTATTCATTTTACATCCCCCAGCGGCACTGCCCAGCAACGGAGAAGCGGGGCAGCGTGCACCCCGTGGGCCAGTTCGAGGCGCAGGGCAGGATCTCAGGGTTTGCTGACAGGTCTGTGCTCACAGCTGCTGTTTCCTGCTGCGGCTGTCAGGACAGCCCACGGGTCACGCCCGCGCGGCGCTGCCAGGAGGCAAGGGAAGTCGGGAAGAAATGCCGCCATCACCTCGTGCCACATTCACAACCTGCCCCGGGCCGCCGCCGAGCTCACCTGCCCTCCTCCGCACACGCAAGCTCACCAAGCCGTACTAGCGCGTCCAAGTCTGAGCCCAAATGCCGGTGGAGCTGACTGGGGAAACCCACGTGTCTAATAAACCCACGAATGTATTTTCCCTACTGTTTATAAACAATCCAACGCAAGGAAGCCAGCGCCGTGGTCTCAGGTCTACACTACGCTGCCCTCTGATTAATGGAATAAAAACGACAGCATGAGTTTAGAAAGTGCTTTTAAATAGACGTTAGTAATGAAACCAGGACCTCGGGCAGGAGGAGGACGCCCAGCTGAGCCCTGAGCGTGTGCTCATGCTGCTTCCTCGGAATGCCAGTGTCCTCTGCGGCCCCGCACAGGACCTCAGCGCCCATGGGGCCTTGCCCGGCCCGGTCACAGCGCTGACAACCCGTCAAAGATGGGGTTCTCGGTCTTAAACCCCTCATCTGCAAAATTAGTGGACTAGATTAACTCCTCCAAGTTTCGTCTAGCATTAGGGTCCCAGTGTTCCTATGAAACAGGAAGAAAACAGCAGTAACAAGGAGTCCACCATCAAGGGTTCCAGCATTTGGCGGAAGGCCTCAGGGAAAGGCCTCCCCAGACTCCGCTCCCACAATGCAAGGCCTCAGCCCGAGTCACGCAGTCATTTTTTCCTGGCCTACCTAAGCGACATGAGTAAGACTGAAACCTCCCTTAAGAGTTAATCCCACACATTTTAATAAATATATGCCTTAGTAACTCTCTGGGGAAATAACTGTTTGTATAGACTTTCAGTTTTTGTCCTTTCGTCCTTAAATCCAACACAACCTGTGATATAAGAGGTGGATTTGGAATCGTTAAGGCAGGCAAAGCATTCCTGGAATTGCAACAAATTAGTTTTGGGAAGGAGACTGGTCTATTTTTATTCTTTGTGTGGAACACATGAGTATTT